CAAGAAAAACTAGATTTATAAGGTTAGTGAAAAATATGTCATAATTACGGGAACCTGCGTGTGACCTACCTACCTGCAATTTAGTTCCGAAAACAGTTCTGTCTTTGTGCTCAATGTTCGTTTTGGATTTTTTCACATAGAAGCCTTAGATCCATCACCTTAAATCTGTAAGAAAGTGGGCGGCTAATTGAGTTATAAATAATTGTGCAGAGAGCTAAACACAGCACGAAAATGTGTCTGTCTCGCAGAGTACGTCAATGAGGCAATACCGTCGTTGTAGTTCGTATTCAAGCTTGTATGTTTTATCCTTCAGTCTATTTATTTTTATTATTATTAAGGCTTTGGATTCAAGGTTATCACGACATATTTGATGTGATATGTATAGTAGATGACTTTAGGGTAGTCAATGACATGCGACGACTGACTAGTCGTCGTCGTTTCCTATGCGAAAAAGCGTCTACGTAAGATTTATTTTATTAATTTATATTTCGTTTACGTTCTTTGTTGGTGGTCGTACTGTGTATGAAGATTTTTATACATAGATAGGTATTTTCGTTTTGGCGGATATTTCCTTCGCTGGTTGAATGGTATGCTGTCATCTGGATGTAATTTTATATTGTTTGACTTTTTTGTTGCCAATAATAGTCAATTCACGGATTTCAATCTAATTTCAATTACTTTCATTCTAACTGATTTTATTTTGTTCTCAATTCGGCTTAGTGCGTTTAAATAGGACTGATTACTTTCGAATTTAAACTTTTATTAGGGGGATAATGAAAGTGCCGGCGATTCATTATACGTTATTGATAACAATGATGGCGAACCGAGGCTTCACATCCTCTTGATCGTGAGATTTTGCATTTCATGAATGTTCAATGACGTTTAATGGTTGTTATCTAATTTATACTATATTTAGCTTGCTAACTCCCCACAATCCGATGTTAATATTAACAGTCATTATTTTGTAACATCTAAATATTCATAGTATCACTATTACTGTGATTGCAATTTGAAGGCTTGGTCTGTCCCAACAGCTTCGTGCCGTCAAAGAATCAAACATAAATTATTGCACACCCAGTCACGCATAACAACCCACAAAATCATAGCCACACTAGGGAAACCCTGTATCGCGGGTGCCATAGACATGCACATGGACAACCACAAATTACACCCAAGCTCAGAGAGAAAGAAGTGTAGGCTTTCCCTAAATTTCTCCCGAGCATCAAACCCGGTACCTCTGCGTGCCAGGCCAGAGGAGTAATCGTTCGGCTACGGCGATATCTAAATTAAATCACCACTATCGTCAAATTTGAAACATTGAAATATGGTCTGTATTTTTTGGAGACGGAGTAAAATGACAGTTAATAGCGCAAAAGTGTTGCCCACTTGCGAGCAACTAGTGATTACAGTGGATAAATGATCCATCGATTATCGACTGAATATTGGTTACGCTTATGGCATAAATAGCAGTACTTGTTTCATTTGATCATCTTCAACCCATTATTCATCCAATTACTGAGCACAAGTGCATTTTAATTGTAAATTCATGCATACATACACTGTATTTAGAACTATATTTATGAAAAATACTAAGCGGACACATTTTTTTAAAGTTTCTCATTTTAATCCAATGTATATAATCACATCCGACTATTCTTGTTAAAATGAATATGAATAATAATTGATCTCGATACCTACTAGTAGGTCAACCGCCAAAATAAGAACAAAGAAGGCAATAACACAATTAGTAATTATTAGAACGGCGTAACATTCACGATTCAGTCATTTTTGGCAAAATTGTATATTATTTCATAACCTATCGATATAACTACCGGAATCAACTACATAACTATTTAAAATTTTGTGAAAACTGGCAACCCTACAAATGTAATTTTATTCCGTCTCCAAAAAAGACAGACTATAGAAAGTGGAAACTCATAACCGCTCTGGATTATTGACCATTACTAATTACTACTTGCAAAACACACGAGTCCATTTTCGCTGTGAAGTTCGACCGCGCAGAGTTGGTACGTATTAATTATACTTTAACTGGCTTAACTTGAGGGTAAATAGAAAGTATAGCGCGAGCAGTGAAATCTTTAGCAACAAAATTATAATATTTAGTTTTGAATGTTCGTCGCGATCACATCAAACTGCGAATGGTTCCAAATTGTTACCGCCGTTACGTGTTTTTTTTACAGTTCTTGAATATAAATTAATAAAATAAATTCGAATAATTTAGTGAATAAAGAGAGAAAACAGATCACTGTTTCACATTTTGATTTTGAACATCAGTTCTTATACGGGTATAATTATCTTTGTTATACATGATAAAGAATATTTTACTGAGGCAAAAATAATAATTTTATCTAAGGTTATAAATTTGAATGCGTTACTTTCCAAAATCAACAACAGTAATATATTGAAAATAAAAACTTTGTCTCATATTTGTTCACTTGTTATATACGGATTGTACAGTCAAAACAGACGTGCAGGCGCGCTCAAACTCGTTCAATAAATGTTTCATTAAAAGCATAATGTTTGCTTCTAGAGGGTTCGTCAATGGTGAGATATTATACCATAAAACAACCACAGTAAATAACCTGTGTACTGTTCCGATAGCGGCAAAGATACTCGTATTTCTTAGTAAAAACTCGTACGGGAGAGTTGGGTAATACCGAACCCCTAAGTAATAAGGCCTATAATTAACTTCAGGTTGTTTTATAAAAACAGAATTTAAAGTCGTAAGTTATTTATTTGGCTACATGTATAATGTAGATAATCTTCATAAACAAATAAAAAAGGCATTTGTTGCAAAATTACCAAAAAAAAAAAATGAGAGAACGCGGTATTGTCAAACTGGTCTGATAATACCTAAAAATAAATACAAAATATATATCATAATTTGTATGATATATATTTTGTATTTACAAAAACAAATATTATAAGCATATACTCGTGCGTATTAATAAGAGTCTACAATATTATCTTTTACAGCGAAATAATCGAATACAAAAATGTTAACAATGAATAAAGTTAAAGAAATAACATTTGCCTTCCTTGTATTTATTTCCTTAGAGAACTGGCAGACTTGGTAGCTCTTCGAATGAAAGTGAAGATGTTTACATCTTCAGTCTCAAAAATACTTTACTTTATGCGATACATCATTTCAATATTTGGTAGCTTTCTTTTTCCTTTTGAAATTTTTGCTTATCTTTATTATTTCGATATTTTTGTTTGTACGCATTTTCCACAAACTTATCCTTCTCACTGTGTATGTTGCTGTTCGAAACTTTCCTCTTAGCAGGTTATACTTTAGCTTCGTTTCTTCCTTTCTATTCCCTCTTCCACTCAACATGTTTGTCAAATTGTATTGTTTTAGTTTACAACTCCGTGCCCAAATCTGATAATATCGTGTTTTAAGTGCGGAATCGTCAAACCCAGTCACTTTACTTTCAAACCACAAAATAATATAAAAAGCAAACTATATTTTCGAAATGATTTTGAAGATCAATTGTACTATATTTTAAACTTTCAAATATGTTAAACAATTACTTAAAATAAAAATGTAATGTGACTTATCTCTTACCGAAAACACCCGTCAAATTGAAAAATATTGAATAAATGTGAAAACTTACAGAACCAATCGTCTTCGAATAATCGTTCAGAATGAAGTAATAGCGTGCATGCGGAGAATGATACGTGTCAGGCTGTGGTACTGGGGCACTGTAAACTTTAATTAGCGTGTAATTGTTGAGATATACAGAGGTGCGATACTACCCAATTCCACCAATCATACCAGCCGCGCGGTAATACCCAACTCCCCCTATGTCAGAAGCATATTAAATACAGCTGTCATCGTCATGCTATAGGGCTATAGAAATTGTGTCCGTATCGTATTCGTGTGCGCGACGACTCTATTTTCGCTTATGCAACCTTGAAGAGATAGGGCGCATTTATACGACACGAATTTCATCGCGCTCACCTCGCGCTGTCAAAGAGCGGAATCCGCGGCGGCCGCCGCCCAGCGACCGCGTGCACATCTTCAGAAAACGAACTGTCATGGCAAAATACGCTCTATTCTTTTAGCTTTTACGTTTTAATCTAAATGAGCAAAAAAATATCTACTTCAGGCCATTACTGCTAGCCGACGTCAGGTTCATTCAGTTACTAAATTCTGTCTTGGAAACCGTATCCATTATGCGAAATTCAATTAAAATTAAAAAAGTTGTAATTGCATATTATTTGTACAAAAAATGCAAAGAAGAAAAAAAGAGACACAAGATATTGGGTTCACCCTATTTTTAAAAAAAGGGAAGAGTTTTTGGGAATTTCATACTCTATTTAAAGATCTCCGAAAAGATGGATTCGCAAATGATTTCAGAATGAATATAAAAACATTTGATTCGACATAAGCTATTGACCATGTTACATGATAAATTGAAGCACCAGAACACTGTTAGCTGGAAGCTGTTTTGTCTACGCGGTAGCCGAGCGGAGTCCGCTCCGGCCGCCGCGGACTCCGCTCTTCGACCGCGTGGCGGCCGCGCGGTTATATTATTCAGAGGAATTTAAATGTTGTTGCCTAGTTAATAGAATTCAGATTCGCCATTAATGTACATGAAGGCGTGGTAACTGGGTGGTCGCCGCGCGGTGACCGCGCGAAAACTTTCTCCTCGTGTGTCTGGGTGCTTACCATAATCGTAGATACGCCGTTTTCGAGTAAAAATTTATAGATGGATAATGAAAAAAACGTTTGCCTTTATATGCTTGCCCTAAGCCAACTGGAATCGAAACTTTATATTTTGAAACTTTAATAACAACTGAATTTAAAATTGGAATCAGGTTTCAATGACAAATCATGTGGTAAAGACTTTTGACACTTGGTTGCCAAATAGGGTCCAGTTATCACGGAAATTCAATATGTTTTTTTAAGCAACGGGGAAGAGACAATATGGATAACATAAGGTTGGTTTACATTTACACGCTGTTTGTTGCAGGTACATTCTGTACAAGGAGTTAATGACGAAGGATCAGAACCTGGAAACCTGTCGATCGCAAGTGAATCGTCTGCAAGGGGAGTTAAAATTGATGAGCAAGGAGAATGCGATGCTGCATGAGCGCATCAATAAATGTAACTCTGAGGTGTGCTTTGTCCATATGCGTGAAGTAATAATCAGGTGGGAGCGTGAAGTCTTAAGGGAACGGTAGGAAAATGTTCTCGGAAACTATCGCCTGCGGAGAAAAATTAATAAGAACAAAAAGTGTTTAAGTCTAATTTATCCGAAACAAACACTAAAAACAATTTAAAACAAAATTTAAAAAGTCTTAAAAATATTCTCTCCAGTTTCCATAGTGCCCCTTTTATACATTGTAGTGCATCCAACCAGGATTTCTCTGTGTATGGGATTTGGTTTCGTTGGGTCCTTATTGCTATAGCCAGTATTTCTCGTCAGAGCTATTCATATAATGGCGAGATTAAGCTCGCCAAATAATTTGTGGAAAGGAATGATTTCTGGTTCTTCATAAGTAGGTTAGTCATGTGTATAAAGTGCCTCCGTGGCCGATTGCCGAACGGTTACCGTGCCGGACTGTCACGCAGAGGCCCCAGGTTCGATCCCCGGGTCGGGAGAAATATTTGTATAGCCTACAATTCTCTCTCTCGTGAGTTTGGGTGTAATTTGTGGTTGTCAACGTGTGTGTCCATGGCACCCGCGACATAGGGTTTCCCTAGTACGGGGCTATGTTGAGGGTTTGTGTTATTATTATTACTAGATACTAAATCCATGGTTGTACTTGTCGCTAACGGGGCCTCCGAGACCAAATCGCTCTATTCCTTATTTAGTTAGAACTTCACGGAATTTGTCTCTATCTTTTCTTGCGGCTGTATAATCGAATGGAACAAAGCGAACTTCAGCCCAGTGTTTATAAACCCATTTTCGTGACAGCCCCTTCTTATTTCAGATTCCTACAGTTTGAATGAATACAAATGCAAGAATAGTAGTCTTCCAGGGTGCCAGATCGGTACTTTCGTGAAATGTCTGTTTGGACTGATTATGTCACTCGTACATTCATCTCGTGCTGTTGTGGATTAAATCTTCCACAAATGACAGTTTATAAGGGGCGCCCTAAGAATTAAAACTTAATTTAAAAAAAATGTTTTTTTGAAACCACAAATCTGGCATACAGGAGTTATACTCTCATAATATAAATATATTCATTCAAACTATTGGGACCTGAAAAAATAAAGGGGACGGTGCGAAAATGGGTCTCATAAAATCCCCATAAAACACTTTTCATCCAATGTTTTACCACTTCACAAACCATCAAGCAGTAATGTCAGCATTACTATGTTCCGGTTTTGAAGGGTAAGGGCGCTGGTGAAATTACAGACGCATGGGACTTGTCAACTTAGTCTCAGGGTGACAGGTGCAGTGGCAGTGCCCCTCAGATCTTTGCGATTTAAAGCTCTGAGCGGCACTGCAACTGTTATGGACAGGTGTAAAGCTGGTAGGCTCGGCACACGACTTGTTCGTCCCATCTCATGATATTATAAAAAAAATCTGGAATTTTGGTGCCATGTGCCAGCACTTGCACTGCACTGGGCATAGCGTACTGAATTCTTTCGTTTTTGTTTTAGCCGTACTTTTGTTTTTAGCGCTGACTCAAGGACACTAAGACGATAGTATTAGAAATGCCTCAGATATTAGGACGGGCAAAGCCCGTACCTTTTTGTGCCATTTCGGTATTGTTTATAGACAAAAATTTCAAAGAATCTATCGGCTTCCCCGATCCTTTTTGAAGACTACGTCGGGGTTATCAGTGTAATTTCCGAAGTTACTTGCTATGCATAATGGAGGAGTGGGATCATACTCCTGAAAAACTACACTCGCGAGCAACCAAATCGACTCAAGCGCTACCTCTACATTCA